AGTCAGTTACCTATAAGGGAGTACCCATACGACTGTCAGCTGATTTCTCAACAGAAACTTTGCAGGCCAGAAGGGAGTGGCAAGAAATATTCAAAGTGATGAATAGCAAGAACCTACAACCAAGATTACTTTATCCAGCAAAGCTATCATTCAGAATTGAAGGTCAGATAAAGAGCTTCACAGATAAGGAAAAGCTAAAGGAGTTCATCACCACTAAACCAGTATTATACGAAATGCTGAAAGGTATCCTTTAAGAAGAGGAAGAAGAAGAAAAAGGTAAAGATACAAATTATGAACAACAAACATGCATCTATCAACAAGTGAATCTAATAATCAAGTGAATAAATAATATGATGTACAGAATGAACTGGTGATTATAATAGAACCAGGGACATAGAAAGGGAATGGACCGGCTATTCTTGGTGGGGAAAGGGGAGTGGGAGATGCGGGAAGAGACTGGACAAAAATCGTGCACCTATGGATGAGGACAGTGGGTGGGGAGTGAGGGCGGAGGGTGGGGCGGGAACTGAGAGGAGGGGAGTTATGGGGGGGAAAAAGAGGAACAAATGTAATAAACTGAACAATAAAGATTTAATTAAAAAAAAAAAAGAAAATGTCTTCCTGACAACCAGATTGCAAGTAATTATAATAAGATAACACTGGATTTATCTAAGTTGTCAAAATAATGTAACATCTGGCATCTCTACATATTATCTTGATAACCTTACAATTAGCATATGCAGCAGACTACCTGGTCATGGCAAATATTTTTCATTCATTTAATGTATATTTACTAAACAATCCCTACATGCCAGCCACTATTCTACATACTAGACAGGAATAAGACAAACATGGTTCCTGCAAATTAATAGGATAATCAGGGTTACTTTTACAGCCCAGTTCTTCTGGCACCTATACTGTTATGTAAATTAAGTTTTTCTGACCTTGGGTGCTTTGCTTGTCATTTACTGTTATTTACAGAATTAAATAAATTTTGACAATGAGTTTCAGATGAGCTTTTTTGCTTTGTAGGTATTATTGAAGCGAATAAAGCTCTATGAATCGTGGAATGATAAAATATTCACAGAAACTTACAACTCTGCTGTTGAATAACAATTACACTTATTCCAAACAGGCAATTGGTTTCCAAACGCATTAGACAAAGGCAATTTAGAGAGCTTCTTCTTCTTCTTGGCATCATTAACGTTGTTGAACATCCTGGGATTCTGGAGTATTTCACAAAGGTAAGTATGTGCGTGATAAGATGGAAAATTTCTGAGTTCGTGAAATATTGACCTGGGAACCATCACTGAGCCAACAGGAATCCTGTATGCCATGACTGGACAAATTAGCATATTAGAGAAATCTAACAGATTATTCAGAGCCAGAAATGTCCCATTTAGAATTCACTTTTTTCATCAATCCTTATAATAAAAACAGTTCTTTAATTGATTCTACAAGATGTTCTAAAGCAAACTTTCTTCCTCCGTTACATAGTACTACTTTAGAATTAGAAATAACTATATTGGTAATAAAAGAGAATGAATCATTATCATTAAAAGCAAGTATCATTAAATAAATAACTAGAAATCTAATGATGCTTAAGATTCCGATTCCATTCAGGCCTTTGAATCAGCAGTGACCATTTCAAGGTCAATAACAAACTGGGAAAAATCATTTAGCCAGTCACCTGAGACCCTTCATTGGCTTAATAGGTTTCATCTACCATTCATCCATTGCCAGTGCGTGCATCTCTCTCTCTCTCTCTCTCTCTCTCTCTCTCTCTCTCTCTCTCTCTCCTGTTCCTACACATGTAAAAATAAAGACAATAATAATGACCTCTTATGGGCCTTAGGGAGATAAATTCTTATAAAGGGTCAAGCACAATATCTGCCACATAGTGGGAACAAAACAGATCTTTGTTTTCTTCACTTCCCTCCATTCACTTATCCATTTAATCGTGTTTATCCCAACCATTATCACTTCTCCCTTGCCTAAAGCATCCTTTTACCCATCTAATAAGTTTCCTTTGGAACATCAGTCATGTGATAGGTACTGTGGTCAACTAGAAAAATACAAAGTCAGTAAGTCAATAATGCAGAGTGCCACCTATAATCCTGCTCTCATGGAGCATATGGTCCAGTATAAGAGAGAGGCAGGATTAATGGCCAAATCATACAGAGGATATATCATAGAAGTGTATACTTGAAACTTATATAATTGTCTTAACTTATGTCACCCCAATATATTTAATAAAAATAAAATAAAGAGGCAAAAATCAAATGAAAAAAAATCTGAATGGCTACATGAGTTTCATCATTCCTTTCCTTCCATAGTGTATGTTATCAAATTGACCCTCCACAATGTATGATTTCCCTAAAATGCCTATTTCATTCTGAAATTAAAAATAAAATAAGAAAATCAGTCTTGCAAAAGGACCCAGCATGAATGTCCTCAGCTTTGTAGTAAAAATAGACTCAGCAACAAAAACGGAAGCTGAAGCAAGGCCCCTTTCCCCTCCATCCATTGGCTCCAAACACATAACTGGTGCCCATCTGCTGATTCTCACAAGCCTGTACTATTTCTCAATTTTTACTTTTTCTCCCACTGTAAGATTTGACCCTTGTCTGTTTTGGAGTAGTTGAATAGGCAATCTCTAGGGTCAGCCCAGTTGAATTCAATCCCACAACTTAGCTGTACTAACTTCAGCAAGCTGTTTAACCTTGCTAAATCTCAGTTTTTTCTTTTATAAAATGGAAACAATAAGAATAGCAATTGTAAAGTTGTAAGGATGAGTAAGTACTCAGAAAGTTAGTAATATTAATAATGGCCTCATGCTCTGCTTTATGCTCCCCTTTTCCTCCTTTTTATTATTCTAGACTCATGCTGAGGTGTGACCAAGATGACCATGATTCTGAGCTGAGTTCGGGTAGAACTGGCACTGGAACCAGAGACCATTAGCTCAGGGAGTTACTCACTCACTTATTTATTCATCCATTCATTCAACCAACTTACTAAGCACTGTTCCAGAAACTAGAAAAATAGAATTGAAAAAAGCAAAGCACCAGTCTACATGAAGCTAACATCCAGTGCTCAAATTAAAATATGTGTGATTCTTTCTCTTTGGTTGTCAAGCAAATAAGTTACTATAAAGAAGTGGGATTCAGAGGAGGCAAAAATAAAAATATACAGAACACCAGAGATTAGAGGAACCAAAGGTGAGAACAAACTAAATCATAATATAGGGTTTATTTAGAAAGAATTTGATTCTTACTAAATCTTCTTCATCTCTTTTAATGCATACTTTTTAAGGGAAGGGAAAAAAAGAGAGAGAGGATAAAACAAGCAAGAAGGAGAAAAAAATAATTTTCCATGTGTTGAGCATTCCTGTGTCTTAGTCAGCATGCTAGATACACACAGATAACCTCATTTTATATCTACCACCTCCTGTTACACTGTACGTAAAAAACTAAAGTAAGAGCCCTGGCCAGGTAACTTGGTTGGTTAGAGCATCATCTCAACATGCCAAGGTTGCAGATTCAATCCCCTATCAGAGTCAACCAATGAATGCATAACTAAGTGGAACAACAAATTCTCTCTCTCTCTCTCTCTCTCTCTCTCTCTCTTCTCTCTCTCTCTCTCTCTCTCTCTCTCTCTCTCTCTTTCACAACCCCTTCACTCTGGTAGGTAGATAGGAAACAAGTCCCTTCCATTAAAGTGACTATAACCACCATCATCTGTTAATCAGCCACTCCAAAGGGAAAGAATGAGTGTCACATATTAGAAGAAAAGAGTCTGGAAAACTTGCCTACAGAGATTAAATAGCTAGAACCAACTCTTAGAGCAAAGGCACATATTGTCTTGGGTATGTGTTGCCCATTGGGATAAAATGGATCAACTCAGAAGATCTAGGCAAGAAACTGTATGGAAGTTAAGGTGGGAATATCAGTGACCTCAGGGAGGAGTGCATGACTCTGATTTATTTCTATACTGATTTTTATTGTCAAATGCTAACGAACAACAAGTATGCAAAGAAACAGGAGAAAACACAGGTGTCTCGGGGACAGTATTGTGGAAACATTATTTATGAGTCAGATAGTGTTTGATCACAATACACATCCAATCACAATTCAATTTTTACCAAACCCAAAGGTGTTCAGAGCCAGATAACAGCAATGGCACATCTATCAAGAACAGGAAAGTCCTGACCTATTCTTTTCCCACAAGATTTTGAGGACAGTGGATAATTATGAAACAGCATCCTCATCAATATACAGGTGTCATTAGGTCTGTGTTAGCACCAGAGGGCACCCCTACCACCTTGCATAAGGATCCAGTGTGATGCCATCCTGGTGTAAGTCCGAAATCCATCCTAATCTTGTCAGGGTAACTGAGATATCACAGTTATGAATTACCCATAAATGTCAGGCCAAACTTACCTTTAATTTGTACAAAAAACAACAACAACAAAAGCAAAAAAACAATAATAAAAAAAACAAAAAACAAGAGCTCCCTGACTTTGTATAGAGTCTCCTCAAATAAATCTGAAATAGAGAAATAGTGACATGTCATACCTGAGGCTCTCCAGGTTGTAGATGAAATAAGTAGGCAGAAAAAAAATCTCTTCTTCTTGCTGAAAAGTATTAGATAAACATCTCTGTAGTACTTAACATAAATGCATATCCCTCATTGGATGCTAACATTAAAAGGTATTATAGATGTTTCCAGGGGAGGTGGCAAAAGGGTGTTTGTTTTATAATCAACTAGAGGCCCGGTGCATGAATTTCGTGCACTCTGGGGGGGGGGGGGCCCCCCAGCACTGGCCTGCACCCTCTCGCAGTCCAGGAGCCCTCAGGGGATGTCCAACTGATGGCTTAGGCCCGCGGGGAGCAGGCCTAAGCCGTCAGTCGAACATCCTTGGCGCTGCCGTGGAGGTGGGAGAAGCTCCCGCCACCGCCACTGTGCTTGCCAGCCGTGAGCCTGGCTTCTGGCTGAGTGGTGCTCCCCTGTAGAAGCGCACTGACTACTAGGGGGCAGCTCCTGTGTTGAGCATCTGCCCCCCTGGTGGTCGGTGCGTGTCATAGCGACCAATCATCTGCCATTCAGTTGATTTGTATATTAGGCTTTTATTATATAGGACTAGAGGCCCGGTGCACAAAAATTTGTGCACTCGGGGGGCGGGGGAGGGGGGGTCCCCCAGCCCGGCCTGTGCCCTCTCGCAGTCTGGGACCCCTCGGGAGATAACGACCTGCTGGCTTAGGCCTGCTCCCGGGTGGCAGAGGGCAGGCCCAATCCCTAAGTGCAGCCCCTGGTCAGGCTCAGAGCAGGGCCGATTGGGGAGTTGGGGCGCCGCCCCGTCATGCACAGAGCAGGGCGGATCGGGAGGTTGCAATGCCACCCTCAGTCACGCTCAGGGTAGGGCCGATTGGGGGGTTGGGCC